TAAGTGATAGTGTCTCTTCTCCTGGGAGGAATCCACTCCCCTGGTGGAGTTTACCCTCCCTCAGGAATCCAAGCTGGGATCTAATCAAACCTGTAAACACAAACCTGTAGGCACAACTCTACCAAAGCCACACTTAGAGAAGCAATGAGTTTATCAGAGTAACTTACAGGGCGCCAGTGTCCATCTACTCAGCTGCAGTCTTCCGGACCCTGCTCCTCTATGTTCTGAAAGCAACATTCTGCCTGGGTGTTAATGTCAGAGGACAAAGTGGATGCTGCAACTGTGTGGTTTCTGGGCAAAGCTTCTGACAAGAGCCTCAGCTGTCGACATTCTAAAACTAACTTTGTGGCTCACTGAAGTCATAGAGATGGAGAGTTGGAAGAGAAGAAAACTGAAACTCACCACGGGACCACGATGTGTCTGGGCTGAGACAGAAAAATAGACTGAAGGGAAGAAAGGGGCTTTGACTACGAACTTTGCCCAGCTCTGAGGCACTTCTCCCGCATGCCACCATTGGGCCTTTCACTAACATTGCAGCTATTTCCAACATAATAAACCACGCCATGAAAAATAGACTGCTTAGGAAAAGGGCCTTTTAAAAATAAGAGTAACCTGGCAATCTTACTTAAGAGTTCATCATGAGAAAATGACTCGGGAGCTGGGGAGATGGCTGTGGGTAAAGCACTTGCTGAGCAAGCATGAAGGTCAGCTGCCCAGCACCCATGCAAAAGCCAGGTCTGGAAGCCCACACCTAAACCCCTGGTGCTAGCGGTCAGAAAACAGACAGGAGGATTCTGGAAACATGCTGGCCAGTCAGCTGACCAAAGCAAAACTGCAAACACTGTGTTCAGTAAGAGACTCTGCCTCAAAACTGAACAAGGTGGAAAGCAGTACAGGCCATCCTATCTTTTCACAGACAACTGCTCATCCCAAACAGGGCAGTGAGGACAGATGGAAAATCGTGGAATATTCCTCTGCACTGTGGGAATCAGTACCACTGTGACTGGGTTAATAAGGAAACTGACTGGCCAATAGCTAGACAGGTAGAGGTCAGGCAGGACTGGCAGACAAAAAGAGAGCTTAAAGAAGAAGAAAGGAATCTGGGGAGTCATGAGGAGATACAGGTGAAGCAAGAGATGAACTTGCCATATTGAGAAAAGGTACCAAGTCACATGGCAGAGCATTAATAATTAATAATAAGTTTCTGTGTAGTTATTTGGAGACTTGCTGGTGGACAGAAAAGTCCATCTACAGAGAAGCAATGAGTTTACTGGGGTTCCTTACAGGAGCATGAATGAAGGATTACTCACAGGCAACTGCATCACCAAAAAGCCCACCAAGCCTTAGAAAATCTGTCATCTTTGCATGATGTGCAGGCTGCTCAACTGACTGGAGGGTCTCCTCTCCTCAGCCATTCTTACTGCTTATACAATTTGGGGGATGGAGGAGCCTGGTGAGTCTGATCAGTTTCAGGGACTTCCTGAGACTTGTGAGTTGTTTAGTTTCTGAATCTTAACCAGCTTGTCTCTAGGATGGAAGCTTCAAATCCCAGGAAATTGCTACAAAATATCTCCACCTGTGCATGCACAAGCGAGCACACCAAACATGATTGTGCATACAGTACATGCACACATACACAAGAAATAGCCAAGCATGCCCATGCAAAGCCAAAGGAACAAGGGTTATCCTGCAACACAGAAAACTACTAGACATCTGCTACTCTGTTTCAGCCAAATATCATGAAAAACGCATCCCCAGTTCCATTAGCAAAGGAACTGTGGGGCTCTAGAACTCATCTGATCATGACAGGGCACCCCAACACTATCCCATGACAAAGCAGTGCCAATGAAGACCTGTGGGAAGCTGGGGCTTTTATCTTAACACTACAATAACCAGGAACCCTTCTCCAGCTGGGTCCCCTCTCTAGCTGGGTCCCCCTTCTCCATCTGGGTCCTCCTTCTCCAGCTGGGTCCCCCTTCTCCAGCTGGGTCCCCCTTCTCCAGCTGGGTCCCCCTTCTCCAGCTGTCCCCCCCCTCCAGCCTTGCTGTCAGAACACACTAGATGGGATCTGCAGCATGCTCACATGCAGCAGTAGCGCCTTCCTCCCTCTCCCTGTGGCTGTTACCAAGAGAGGCCGAGTAGGACGCCCACATCTGCATCCCCTTCCATCAGTAATAAAGTCCCATTCCCAGACACCAGCATTTGTGCAGGCCGTCTCCAGGAACCAGTTCCCTACCAACCAGAGAGGTGCCCATCATACCAGACAAAGTGAAAAGCCAGAACCCCCTTTTCCAGTACCATAAGGGGTTTGTTTGTCCCCCAAATCAGGTATCAATGAACTCAACAGGGAACCTAAATGGCTGCCCAACCCAGCAGTAAGGAGACAACGCCTCCTTCCGCCATGCCAGTGTGGTGTCAGGTGCCCTAAAAAGCAGGAATTTAACTGCTATCAGACATGCCACTCAAGATGTTGTCTACATGTTGAGTTTCAATGTTCAAGATAAAAGCACCCTGCTGTAAGCCAGCAACAATGTGGACCAGCTGTGCATGTAGGGATGTATTTCTGCTGCGATGAGACACTTCTTGCAAAATGCCAATACTGGTCCTTGAGATGGCTCAGTGGGTAAGCACTTGCCAGGGAACTTAAGACCTGCAGTTCAGTCACGAGAACCTGCATGAAGGAAAGGACCAGATCCACATAGCTGCCTCTGACCTCCACACACACGCCATGGCATACGTGCACACTCGATCACATACACACAGTAATAAAGTTTAAAGAAAAGAAAGGATGGGCCCTGCCTTAGCCATAATACTTTGAACTCATCTGGTCTCACAAGCCAGGCAGAGTAGACCTGGTTGGTACTAGGGTGGGAGAAAGGGCCAATACAAATTAAAAGAGAACAATCACCCTTCTATTATCCATTCATTCATTTCTTTAAGAGACATGGAAACATGGCTACATGGCATGAAACAATTAATGTATCTCATTTTCATGACTTTGTAAAATATTATATAATCATGTACTGAGAGTTTAAAAATAATTCTGTTAAAACTCTCAGCCTCTCTGATCACAACTTACAAAATGAAGTTACCCAAGGGTGACTATTTCTATGCAGTGACTGTAGCATTTAATAACTTGGAAAACTGAACAGCAAATCCAGACACACAGACTGCTGAACAACACTTACAGCCACTGCTGTGGGACCCACAGAGGCTTCCTAGTGAGACCCCACTCAGGGTCAGAGATCTGAGCTCGCTTTACCCAGCAGGGCTGCATAAGGAGATGATTGGTCACGGGCATGGTTACTATGTGTTTGGAAGGGTCTGCATTTGGCTGTACAGTGTGCTTTGATCTTGCAGCAGGGAGATCTTTTGCCTCTCCCCTTGACATGTTATAAAAAGCCCTATAAAGGAGGAGGATGGTGGGTATTGACCCAGGCCCTCCTGAAGCTATCCTATATCTGTCTTTCTTCTTGTCTCCATCTTTATTTCTGATATTTCCTCATTCCTGTCTCCTCTACCTAAGAACCCTTTAAAAGGTGGGAGCTGGACTCCCACACACAGCATCTGAGTGACACCAAACTGCCATGAAGGCGAAGTGTGTGTTGCTCTGTATTTAGACTTTCACACATCAAGCTGTTGGTGTCACCCTGACAGCCTGGAACTGCCTGGGAGACAGGCCTCTGGGAACCGGAAGGACTGGAAGGACCCGCCCACTGTGGGTGGAGCCGACCCCTGGCCTGGATCCTGGTCTATACAGATGGAGGAAGAAGCTGAGCAGCCCCAGTCTTGGCTCTCTGCTTCCTGGCTGTGGATGGCATGAGCAGCGGCTTCGAGCCCCAGCAACCTTGACTTCCCCTCCATGCTGTCCTGCACCCTTGACTGTGAGCTAAAATCAACCCTTTTCCTTGAGTGTGTTTGTCAGAGTATTTTATCACAGCAACAGAAACTAAGGTACCATGCACATATAGTGTCAATGTAACAAAATCTAACTTTAAATATAAAAATACAACAACTAGCATTTACTACAGTGGGACCATGGCCCACAGTGGGTTTCAAGTCCATGATCCTCCACTGAGGTTCACAAAACTCTGATTTGAGAGTGGGGGTGTTGCTCAGTGGCAAAAGGCACGCCCAATATGTAAGAGCACCTGGTTGTACCCCCAGCACAGAGTGAGTGAATGAGTGAGTGAGTGAGTGAGTGAGTAAATGGATGGACAGATGACTCAGATTATAATGTGTGCTTCCTCATCCCTGGTCCAGGTGTGTTGAACACTACATGGAGCATCTTTTTAAGAACTTGGGAAACACTAAACAACCAAGAACATGTCAGGCCTTGGCTCACTGCCTCACAAACTGTGTACAAACACGGTCTTCTTTAACTGTGGGCGCCTCGCGCACACACACACAGTCGCAGGCTTCTGAAAACAGGTGCACTCACTCAGCAGACACAGCACGCACCTCTGGGCTCTGAGGCAGCAGGCCTAAGGGTCTGCATTCCCAACGTAAGACAGTCTCAGAGGTGCTGGCAGCCCACATCACTTCACCGGGGCGAGACACTTGGAGAAAGGCTGGTCACAGCCACCGTGCAAGCTGGGAGCCAGGTAAAGGTCATCAAGAGGCCCAAGGGAGAGGAAGTCAAGAACAGAGAAAGAAGACTCAAAGGCGACACGGGTTAGAGAAATGGACATGGTCAGAGGAAACAGGGACAGCGGGGACCCTCCCCCTGAGGGAGGACAAGACATGAGGGAAAGAGCTGGCTGCAAAGACACCGTGAGGAGAGCAGCATGAGGAAGCCTCGTGAGCGCTGCTTTTTCTCACTGAAACAAGGCGGCGGAAGCCACCAAAAGCATCTGCTTGCATCTTTGACCGAATGCTCTGTGGTACATGCAGGGGTCTGGCAGAGGTCAAAAGGCCTCCTACGGGGTGACACTTCATGTCGAAAGCACCACTGTAGGGGGAGACTGATTTTTCCAGCAAAGTTGAGCGCAGAGTCAGACCTTTTCTTGGATCAGCCGCTGGAGATGAATCCCACAGGACAGCATGGCCGTGAAGAGGGTCAGCATGTACTGCTGCACTTTGCAGATGGCAGAGGCCAGGGAGCTGATGACAGCATTGAGGCCCACCTTCTCGATGACGTTCTGGAAGGCCGCGGGAGACTGGCGTGTGATTCTGCACAGGGCCTGAGGAACAGTGGCGTAGATCCGTCACAGACTCTGCGGGTACTGGGCACCCCACCCTACAGACACCACACACCCCTGCTCAACAGAGAGGACACGAACCATGCTGCTTTGTCACTCATTTTAGAGCCATAAAGTCAGACGTGTGGGTGCACAGGACCGGGACCCACCGGCTGTCAAGGACTTCCATGCTCAGCTCCAGACAGTTTTAACCAGTAATGAATGTCACATCCCACAAAGTCCCAAACCCTTCCAGGCCCATTTTTAGAATTCTGCTTTAGTATACCTGTGGAGCTATTCCTCAACATTTCTACCTTTTCCAGTACATTCAACTCATTCAGGCACATTTCTTCAAACATGGCGCTACGTCCCTGGGAACATCCTCAGAGACGCTTCACCTACCGATATTGCGGTTATCCTCAGGGAGTCCACGGTGGAGTGTCTGAAGAGGTGCCACAGGACAGGCCCGACTTCCCCAGTGATGAAGCCCTGCGCCTGGGCAGAAAGTGTTGTGCAAACATTCTCAATGATCTTCGCAGCCATGTGATTGACAACACGTTCTTCCTGGGGAATGAACAAAGAGCAGGAAGATTCAAAAGGGCCGCTTCCCCCAGCAAAGGGTCTCTTCAGTGTGAGAAATGCATGCTTGCAGTTTCCTTGGAACCACTGGGGATAATGTTCTCACTGTTGTAACGCTGCTACAGAGCTGCAGGTTCACCAGCAAGCCCAGAGAGCACGACCCGCCATGGACCAAACGGGAAGGAGAGCGTGACCCTCCGTGGACCAAACGGGAAGGAGAGCGTGACCCTCCGTGGACCAAACAGGAAGGAGAGCGTGACCCTCCGTGGACCAAACAGGAAGGAGAGCGTGACCCTCCGTGGACTAAATGGGAAGGAGAGCGTGACCTTCCGTGGACCAAACGAGAAGGAGAGCGTGACTCTTCACCTGTTTTAAATAAAATCAAAATGGGAAAATGACCCAAAAAATAAGTAACACAGCACAGTGTAAAAACCAGACTACAAATGTTAAACTGTAAGGAGTTACAAGAATAAACCTCTGAGCACAGCTAGCAAGGATCTGGGAGACAAGCAGCCAGAGCACAAAACCACCCAAACACAGGATGGGAGAGTCCTAAGAAGACATGCCCACAAGGGTAACAAAACCATGCACAGACTAAAATGAACATCAGCATGTCACACTGTTTTCAGGAAGCATCAACAGGCTACAGAGGGCTGTACGGTGGCTCAGCAGGTAAAGGTGCTTCTGCCAGTCCTGAGTTTGATCCCTAGAACCCACATAGTGGAAAAGAGAACCAGTTCCCATAAGTTGTCCTCTGACCGCTGAATGCACATCATAGCATATGTGTATATATGTGTGTGCACATACACCCAGTGAATGAAGGAATTAATCAATGAAAAACTCCTTTAAGTGCTTAAATGAATACAAAAACTTCAGCACTCAATGACAGAAAGTTCACTGGCTCTGAAATCTCCTTAAATATTCCTGAGCAGACAGGAGAGTACAGCTCCACAAAAGAAAACTCAAGGCTGGGGAGAGGGCCCAGTTGGTGAACTGCTTGTCTTGTAAGAGGCCTTTGATTCTCAGAACCCATATAGAAAGTCCCAGGCATGGTGGTGGGGTTGTAATCCACTGCTGGGGAGGTGGAGACAGGTGGGGCCCTGAGGCCAGCTCTCCAGCCAGTCCAGCATACGAGGCAAATTCCGGACTCAAATAAATGAATAAATAAAATGGATGATGCCTGAGAAAAGACAGCTAAGGTTGTCCTCTGGCTTCTGCGCGCGCACACACACATACACACACACACACACACACACACACACACACACACACACACACACGAAATTCAATTAATAAAAACTCTAATAGATTTAGTGGAAGGATCTGCAGTGATTGCTATAGTACAGTCTATACACTCAAGTCAGAAGAGGAAAGACTAAGGAAAGAAATAGTAGGAATAAAAATGATTCCAGCAAAACATCTAAAGATAAAGTGACATCTCGTAAACTCCGGAGATCGCTGAAGAGACGGCTCAGTGGTTAACAACAGGTACTGCTCTCACAGAGGAACCAAGTTCTGTTCCTGACATCCACACTGAGCAACTCACAACTGCCTGTAACTCCAGATCCAGGGAATACAATGCTCTCTTCTGCTCTCCTTGGGCACTGCTCTCTCTCTCACACACACACACACACACAAATAATTTTTAAAAAATTTAAAAACAATATGGCTACAAAGGGTATGAGACTATGCTAGTCTAGTCATCCTTGACGGAACATCACAAATCAATAGGACTGAAAAAAGTAAATAATACAATAGTGGGGAAAGGTCTTTGTGAGCGACAAGTTTCTTAGTGAACAGACAAGTGTAACACTGCAGAAAAGCCTGCAGGTCCAATGCACGTGAAGGATCTTTCACTGAGAATTTTCACCCCACTGAACTTAAAAAAACTGATGTAGCAGAGATATCCTGTGAAAGTGATTAAGCAGAGATATCTGTAGGAATTATTCAGCCCTTACTTAAAACACGAACAGACTCGGTGGAATAAAACCCTCCAGATGTAACAAATTTGGGAAAGTCTCCAGTGGAATTCACCACAGATAATTCATACAAGAAAAGATGGGCAGGCAGCAAATGGGAAGTGTTTCAACTAGAGCTCTCCCCTTATAGGAGTTCAGAGAACTCATACTGGAAATAAATTTTGAAATGCACTGAATCTGAAAAATGCTGTGGCTGGGACTCCCATGTTAGGGACCACATGGGAAAGCATGCTGTAGAAAAACCCTTTAATGATAACAAATGTGAAAAGGTTTCTAGGGTAATTCAACTCTAAGTAAATATGATCATTAGTTTTCACTGTCAATTTAACTGGGTTTAGAATCACCTAGGGACACACCCTTGAACACGTCTGTGACAACATTTCCAGAGATGATTAACTAAGGAGAGAAGTCCCACTGCTCATGCTGGTGATACCATCCCATGATCTGAGATCTTACATTGAATAAAAAAAGTTAAAGAAAAAATAAATAAAAAGAAAAGAAAGTTGGCATTCTTCTTTCTCTGCTTCCCAATCCACTGAAACGTGAAGAACTGAGAAGTCCCAGCCACAAGCTCCCACTGTGGACCTGCCTGCTGCCACCATGCCTTCCCTGCTTTGGCAGACTGTGTACCCTCAAACCACGAGCCAAACAAACCCTCTTCCCTCAGGCTGCAGTAGCCAGGGATCTTATCACAGCATCAAAGGTGAGTGACATGGCAAAGCACAGAAGAACTTAGTTTGGAATAAACCAATGTGCTAAACGTGGGAAACCCTTCGGCGGGCTCTCCTGCTTGCTGCATTTCTGAGAACTCACACAGAAGAGAGATCGTTCAAAAGCTGGAGTGTGGTAGACTATTCAAGGAATGCTCAGCCCTCACTAAGCATGAAATCATTCTGAAATTAATATCAATCAATGTAATAAATACGAAATACTCCATAGCCAGATGGCTCAGTTTTTCAGGAAACGAAGAATTTATTTTTAGAAAATTATGAACTTAATAAATGTAGGGAATCCTTCAGTCAGAGCTGTCACCCTTGTGCTTTTCAGAGGGTTACAATGGCGAGACCCTTACAAATGGAAGCCACTGTAGCTCTCAACCTTATCACGTAAAGGAAAGAGAACTCATACTGGAGAGAAAAAAATGCAAACAGGTATAGTGAACGTGGAACAGCACTTAAAGAGAGTTCTTCTCTTATCTTACACTCAAGAAACCACAGAAGTAGAAAAACCCTATATATGTAATCTAACAAAAGTCTTTAAGTGCTGGCCTCAAGGGCTTTCTCCCAGAGTTCAATGGAGGCTCTACAACCAGCTAAAGATCTAATCTGAAGGATAAGGAACGAGTCTATGCACCATGCTCTTTCAGTCCATGTCTCTTTATTGTTCTAAGTAAGTTTCTCCAAATACAGCGAGGGTATTGGCTTCTACACATGTACAAACAATAATTCTTGGGCAATGCAATGTGAGGCTTGGAAGTTTCAGGATCTAAGAGAAAGATGATAAGATTCACACAAAGAGCAATAACTGTCAACTTTTATTACTGCACAATGTGGGAGTGGCTAGTGGAAGTTTCCTGGTGAGGTCAACTAGGGATTAAATCAACAAAGGAGTCTAAAGAAAGAAATTGTGCCCATGAACTACATTCCTAAGTGTGGAAGGTATTAAGCTAAGAATCTATTAACCAGTAAAGATCACGAACAGGGTAAAACTGTCTTTTCTCCACGCACTGCTCTCAAACGGCTCTTGTGAGCCATTTTTCCAATGGGCTGGGTAAGCACCCTCGGTTACTAGGCAACCTACATTAGCAATAGAAGAATGGGTGCAGCTTTTGGTCTACTGTAGCACTTTTGCTATGATCAGTTGCTAAAAAAGACTTTTAGATCTAAGGATTACACCTAGGCTGCAGAACAAAAGAAACAAGACCTGGCACTGACCAGCAGCAGCAGCAGCAGCAGCAGCAGCAGCAGCAGCAGCAGCACAGGTCTTCAGCACATCTGTGGGGAAGTTCACCCCCACCCCATCCCACCCCTGGAGCCAGCAAATGGCTGATTACCTTTTCTGTTAGTGTCTCGGGGTAAATGCAAACAATAAATTTTTAAGCTAAAATCTTGTGTTAAAAACTGAGGTGAAAATAAGTACAA